GATATGGGTGCCAACCGATGTCAGTGGCGTTCTTGTTGTCAGGTTCTATCCAGATTGCCTGAGTGAATGTCTGGAGGTGTAGGCACCTCGGAATGATTGTGTTAAGCTAGCACTAAGTCCCTCCCCCATCCACCTTTATTCTTTTCTTTACAATAAGGCTTTCAAATAAGTCATGGTTGTACGGTAGTGAAGCATCGGTGTTGAACACTGATGTCATGCTGTCGATGATGATGATGATGTATAGCTGCACGAGTCCGGGCTATTCCCAATTCGTGCATGGGTATGGTTTCCTCTGGAACTTAGCTATGATTAAACCACATGTAGTTAATTAACTGAATGGGCGGTGGTGGTCCTGTCAGGACATGATCGGTATCGTGACATGTTCTGCGTGATGACCGAATAAAATCAGTTTTTCTGGCTGTAGGAGTAAATCCGTCGCCCTGAACCTTTCACAGGATTGACCTCTTTTGGGGCAGTGAGTTTCGCAAGACTATCATCGGGCTTTTATCAATTGACTCGAATAGCAAATAGGGTGCTGTTCACCTCGTGACTAGAAGTAAATCTTGTTTTGGAACATACTGGCATGCGTGCGCATCCTAGATGGCTCCCTCTAATCCAAATGGTCTGTGAAGTGCTCCCCGTGGTTCCCGGTGGGTTGCGAATCCGGTAATTCGTCGGGTTATTTTACAAGCCGGGTCCCTTAACTAAAGTGTCTGGGTGGTCCCCAGACAAACCTCTATTTCGCCCTGGACAATCAGGTAGCACTTCGCGCTTAGGCTATTATTGGACTGTCCTGCATATGTTTTCTCACACTGCTCTTGAGCATGCCCGTTTATCCTCCGAATGGGTTTCTCATCAATCAAAATAAGCTTTACGAGTTCTGTTAGTTTAACCAGGAACTCCATTCCACCTGCTTTATGATATAGTGGCATTTTCTCATCCTCAATCTTCACAATCTTGGGTGCACACAGGGTCTAGAAGGAGCCTAAAGCCTTCATTTCTGCCCTCGCATCTCCTTTAGGCCTGATTGCTTCGTTCGCATTCAATAGCGCATCGGTTAGCAGGCTGGTTGGGCTAAAACCTAGAAGTGATGTGTATTGCGAGGCGCGTCTACAAGATTCACTCAACGAACCAACCAGGTGCAAGGAAATGAGGTCAGATTTCTAGCCAGATCACGAGAAAACCACATCGGGCCAACCGTTCAGTTTAGGGATATTACATACATAAGCATAGACAGAAAAAAAGGATTTACCCACTCAACCCCGCGCTGACGGTGTCACCTTGATCGGTGTTGAAACGTTAGCACTCCAAATGCCAAGCTCGGCGAACAGACCAGCAATGAAGTTTCGCCTGTTATGTACCATCTAGCTTCTGTTTCCGATCGGTTTGAAATTCTGCGTGCGATTTTCAGTAGACCGCGCTGCCTCTGCTTTGGGAGACGCTGGCATGAAAATTGTTTCGTGCCAGTTTGCAATATTTTCAGGAACACCGAAGGAGACAAGCGCATTCTGTGGTGGTCGATATGTACTCACAAGGTATAACTCGGATGAAACGAAGGACTTTTACCAACGCCTGCACGAATTTCTTCACAAACCGGAGAAGTCCGGTCCCGTGGTGCCAGCTAGCACGCCCAACGCTAGAATTGACACTTTATCGACGAGTGAGTCTATCATGTCGTTCTTGGTACCGCTCGCTCTGACAGTAATGGTTTTGAACTTTTTGCTCTGGGTGATTAGAAAATTGATTACTGAGAACGTCCGTAGTCTTTCATTCGAGTACCTACTATCAGGTGAAATAGATTCACTTGCAGGTTAGTTGAACAACAGTGAAAATTCTCTTTGTCGTTTCTCAACTGTAATCATCATCATTAGGGGCAGTACCACAACAGTAAGAACACCAAAACAGAGAGATTCTTCTGGGTTCGCGCTGAGTCTCCCATCAAAACCAAAGAGGTATGCAAATGACCGTATAGGTGGTAGATACTGGTTCTTGACTGTCCTTAGTTACAAATTCAATGTTCGTACCAGAAAGACGACAGAAGAAAATGTTGTCTAATGAAAAAATGAGCATTGTGTATTTGTCTGTAATTAGCTGAGTTTTGGTACTGTTAACGTAGGGTGGTTTCGGTTTCACTTAGACTCGATGGTTTATTTGTTAACAGTCACTGATATAAACAGTGCAGACTAACTGAAACGTGTAGATACTGCTTGGATAAAACGTTGGATCTAGTTAAACGTCAGTGTTGATCCAAAGCATTTCACTTCTAATTCACTTTTAGGTATAATTGCGTATCGATGGACCAATTCGCTGATTTAGAGAGGTGTCCTCCTTGGATGGCGCGGGAATTGAATTCTTATGAGGGCTGTGATCCAAGGCATTAGGCAGATGCAAACCGCTGATCCCAGAACTGAACATTTAGTCTCCTTTTTCTGCTGTCTTTTGGTCACACTTTCAGAACAATCTCTGGTTGAGGTTCCTAGGCTTGGAATTGGGAGAACTGTTCTTGCTATCAAGCAAGCGCGCACTCCGGCAATGCAAATAGCCTGATACCGGATCTATAGTCGCTTGTTGACGTCATTCAAAGGGTTCTGTTCGCTGCGCATAGTCGGACGGTTAACTACAACACGGGTATTGCTGGTGTTTCCATTCTTCCCCCATTAGTCCCCTTCGTATCTTCCGTTCCACCTGCTGATTACTAATCTGCATGATGGGCGGGCGGGTGGGATCGTTCTAATGTTTTTTTTTCATGACAAGAATGAAGATGAGGATGTGAATGATCACCAAGAGCGTGTGTACTGTTGAAGTTTCTTTCTGAGAGATTCGATGGCTAACTTTTACCTGTCCACGCCATTTTCAATTTTGCTCAATCTTCCTCACCATAGGATCTCTTATAAGTGATAAAGCTTCAGCTATTATGTACTACTTTAAGATTTCTAGTATGAGTGCTTGAAGTCCATCTTGGATCTGTGCTCCTTCATTTTTGTTAGTTCGATCCAAGAGAAGAATTACACATGAAAACTTTCTTCAACTTTTAAGGCATATTGAAAAAACTACCACTAATTTTGAAGTATCTCAGAAGCGCACATTTCTACTGCGTTTTGGTATTCCAGATGACGTTACTCCGTAACTCATGTGGTTCTTAGAAGCTTAATCTTGTGCAAAGTAGAACTGCCACAAGACTTCCTCAAAACTAGCGACGTCAGAGGTTTAATGACAGATTAAATGGCGGGTGTGTGCGTGAGAATGTATTGATTGGTGCATGATACATTTTCCAAGGGCTTGTTATCTCTTTTGTTTCAGTGTGCAGTTTTCAGTCGGATGTTAGTGTTAGATGCCATCTCTGTACTGGTGGCTTTTGCACCCTGTTAGTTGTTCTTCTGTCGAATATTTTGAAACAGAAAAATCATGACACTCATTGGAGGTCGAGATTTCCAGATCGTTAAATAATTATCTATCGGATGATGTATGACCACACACCAATAGTACCTTGGTGCCAGCGAGTTACGGTAAGAAAACGTTCCAGTGATACTATGCAAGATGACTGAAACCGTTGGGCATTGGAGTCTAGAAAACAGTAAGGGTAGCATACCAGTTTATTTCCGGTTTAGAGCTGAAACTTTTCGTCTCGTTCAACTGTGACATTGTGAGAGTTGAACTGTGTTCCAATCGGTTTGACCAAATCGTGTCACCAATCCATTAGATTGCATTCAGAATTGAGGACCTGTGCTCTCCCTTGTTACCTGTTCCGTGAAGTTCCCTCTCTGAAGGCTAATGGTTGAAGTAAATTCTCCATTGACACAGCCCTT